TGTCTTGACGTACACTGTACATTGCTCATCTGCTGAGAGTGCAACATAACATTATGGTTTTGTATAGATGTAAGAATCCTCTTCAGAGTTATTAAAATGGTGACAAAATGCATTTAAGGGCATGTACTTTAAACTCAGAGAAAGGAGAAATAGTCTTATATGCAAAATTATTCCTTTTTTATATAACATCTGTTGGTGGCTTTGGGGAAGCAGGTGAATGAAAAGGAAAAGAACGTAAACATAGATTTCCAGTGTATAAGAGTGCCCAGTATGAAAGTGTTGTTGATCTGATATAAATAATTTATTAAAATGCAGCTCTAGGAGTGCAGTGCTGTTAATTGAGGGGCAGTTAATAGAGATAAAATTGCAACTTGCTGATATATTATCTAAAGCATCTCTTCCCTAACTTCACCAAATTGTATTTTATCACTGTGTTATTATTATTATGTACTTCAAACCAGGTGCAACTGACATTCTGGCAGGCCCTTTCTATCTCATGTTATCTATGATGGAATTCCAAGGCCAGTAGTGGGCTTGCTGAATTGATATTACTGTTTTTAAAAATTTGCTTAAATTGAGCATAGTGCTTCCTCTTGTATGATGCAGGTGTGACTTGATGCCCTGTAGTCTCATTACAGTTGATACTTCATGATATTTGTGTGCTATTCATGCTAGTTAAATGTTAGATAAGCAGGAATATCAGAAATCCTTTTCTTTAACCCAGGTATTAACCCCGTTCTTTTCGCTTACATTACCTGCCTGTTTCCTGTGTTTTCTAATGTATCTTAACAAGAGACCAAGTTTTTTTTCAGTACCATATTTCAGAGAGTGCTTACCAGGTTGTCGTTGTAGTGTCCTGTTTTTTTTAGAGCTTCTAAAAAGGCAGATTATTCTTAGGTGATGTTTTAAGTATTCATCATAATTTTCCGATTTTATTTTGTGTAGCGCTGCGTTGAATGGAGTGTCCTTGTATTAATTCTGTAGTTGTACAGATATTCTAGAGAGAGGTAAAGTGAAGCAGGCAGGACTACATTTTCAAAAATAAAAACTGGTTTGGAGTGTCTTCTCCCTTTTTGAACTCTGCTTTCTTAAGGTAACTGTGTTTAAGCATCCCAGCAATTGTGTAATATAAATCACTTTTTATTGTTGAAAATATAAGACAAAACATTGAAGTTTCTGTTCCAGGTCTGTGTCAAACAATTGGTAGGACAGTGAGTCCTGATTCCTCTACACCCGTTCTCATCATACATTCTCTTCCATTTTGTCATTAAGTTCAGGAAGTACATATTTCACAAAATATGCTGCTTCTCACTGAATCTATTTTAATGTTCCTGTCATCAAGTAATTAAAATAACAAACAATTTGTGAAACAACAGTTAAGCAGAGTGGTCAAGTATTGCCTTACTTGTAGCTACTGAGCCTGTAAATAATTAAACAATTACTGTCACTGTCAGGTTATATTTTTAAGCACCTTTTTCAGGTTGTGGTGTTGGTTACTCAGTGCTTTGAGGTGAAGAAATAGTGATGGAACAGGACTATGAAGTTAATAACAGGACTCATTTGTATACAATGTAAATGAAAGCAGTCTTTAAATCTCCTTTAGTGATCTCTGCACAATTGCATAATGACTTGGGAATAAACTTGTCTTACTACTTAGCTGCCAATTAAGTAAGCTAAGAAGCTAGCCATGTAGGTGAAAAATGTGAAATATAATAACTGAATACCAATATTACATAACAACAACTAATCTGCATATAAATTATAGCTACAATAATAGCAAGAGTTAGTCTTGGTGTGTAGCTCATCATGAGACTGCTCCAAATGATATGTGTCAGGGGATGATTTTTTTACGTTTAATTAAGAAATAATATGGGTGGGAGATTTTAATACAATGAAATAAGTGATATAAGTGCAGAAATACAAAGTTGCAATGTATTACAGACTTTAATACTTTCAGAGAATCAAATTCTGAATAGGTCTGTCACATCTTACTGCTCGATTCTATTGGCAACCAAAACCCAATACAGCAAAAAGAACTGTGGAGTGTTAGAACGTTTTGAAAATAAAAAAGCTACCTTTCTCCTTCAGTGAAGTCAATTGTCTACTGTTTTATTAAGTGTTAGGAAACTTCGGTCATCTTACGAATAATCAAGTCTTCAAAATTCTGTTTGATATATTCACAGAAAGTTTGGGGTAAGGAAATAGTATGTAAACAATAATATAATTTTCCAAACTTAAAACTTTCAAGTTCACTGCCATAAAATGGACTTTTTCAGCACTTTTTGTTTAATGATCTGTAGTTCTTTGAGTTTCTATATCATAATTATGAATGTTTTTAGCAAGGTGTGCACCCGTGAGGTTTTAAATAGGGATGCTGGGTGGAAAAATTAAGAAAGTCTGTGGTTTCATTCTTGCTCTGCCAATGATTTCTCTGGTGACCAAGTTAGGCACTTAATCACCACCTCAGTTTCTTATCTGAGAAAAAGCGATAATTACGCTTCTTCTACTATGAAAGCAACATTAATATTTTAGTCAGTATAAATTTGTACAGAGTATAAAAACATGCTGTGCTATGCAGAGGAGGACCATGCAGTGAAATCTGTCATGTGGAGTTTCCAATGTGAAAGACAAACTCAAACAGTTGCAAATGGCAGACAAACTGGTGGGAAGAGAGAAATAAATGGCACATGTAATTTTTAATGAGGCAGTAGCTGCCAGGGCACTGTGGGGCTGTGGGCTCCCTGAGGGCGTGGCAGCCAGGGCCCTGTCCCACCGCCCCAGGCAGGGAGCGGGCAGGCCGGGCAGCCCCAGCCCTGGGCATCAGGAGCCGCCTTGGGGCTGGGCTGGGATGGCAACCTGTGGGTGAGGGAAGGATCAGGCCTGGCGAGGGGAACCAGCTGTGGGTTGGCCAGATTAGTGGGGCCTGGCTCAGCGGGACCCACAGCTGGGCAGGGCTGTGGGGAGCTGATGGGCCTGGGCTGGGCTGAAATGACGTCCTGGGTCACGGGCAGGGTGGGGGGAGACGCTGGGGGAGGGCGGCCAGGGGCAGTGTGGCCTGTGAGCATCCCCAGAGCCTTGGAGATGTGTCTACATCACCTAAACTCAATATTTTGTTTTATTACAATGTCTGGTATATACAGCCACACTGTCCACTCAAAAAATTAAGCTAGGTTTCTCTTTTCTGGTTTATAATCAAAACACTGATGGTGGTCTAGGCATTTCTTCGGGACTGGTCTATACGGTTTGGTGATGATGTGAGTCACATTGTCCTTAGCCAAGCGTTATTCTCCTGGAAGTCCCTTGTGCCGTACCATACATCACTGTCCTAAGCAATGAGCTCATTATTGTAGGTTATGCTCTGTGCGTGTGCAGTGCAGTATACATCTTTCAATGCTGAGTGCAAAACATCTGATTCACTGTATCCAAAACTGTCAGCGAATGAGGTCCAGTTATGCAAACACAAAGTAGCTTTTATCTTCTGTCTGGTTATTTGCTTAGGAAGTACTGGATTACTGTTGTAACTCTCAATAATTTGTTATTATCAATATAGCAATATCATGCACTCCTGTAATTGCTAGTAAAAAGATAGAGCCCGTGTTTTGGGAGGGAGACTAACAGAGAAGAATCTGATGAGCTAATTAAGTTGCAATACTGATATTCTCTAAAAACAACAGTCGGTCTCAATTTTACATTTTCAGTGTTGCTCTACTGTCCTTTGCTGACAGATTAAGTGCATCTGCTTTATTAGTTCAGTACTGCTCTCAGGAAGTGCTCTTGCCTTTATGTCCAGCTGTGTCCTCAAGGCCATCTCACAGCTGTGCATTTTGACCATAATAGTGTAGTATTCCTACTGTAATAATAAACACTGAACTAGCATCAAACATCTTTGCCTGTATAACGGAAATCCCAAAGGGGATTAATGGCAATTGATTTCCTGCTTAGTGGCACATAGGCAGGTCATCTATAAACAAGATCTTTCAAGCTGCTGGGCTATGCAGAGTGCTCGAAGCACTAATGTAAATCTATGGGTGCAGTTCAGGTGCTTGCTACTTGCCTCATCACTGAATTTTGCTGCTTCCCCTATGCTTCTTCAGCATAACCTGTCAAGTATTCAGGAAGTCATTAGTATTGTGCTGTCACCAAAGGCATGCTCATGCCACAGGCTGATACTTTGCATATGATGTTTTAAATGCTGTACAATCCATGCTGGCTTCTCCTATCGTTTCCCTTCATTTCTGTGCAGCATCCATGACTGTAGCACGTAGCAGGCAGTTACAGAGCATGACATCCTTGCTGCAGCGTCCGCAAGAGACTGATATGAATTCCAGTGCGTGTGACTCATCAGGCAGCTTAGTGCAGCTGAGGCTCCTCTTTAATTTCCAGCTCTCTGTTCTATGAGAGCCACTTACTGACAGAAGAAATCCTGTGATACATTAAACAGTTCCATTGAAACTCTGGTTCACTGATAGCATCGCAACTCCCTGCAGATTCTCTATGGTGTATTTTGTTCCCCTCACACTTGATAATTATTGTCTTGTTACATCATGCTTCTCAGCGAAGGTTTATTTGGGTAATTAATTCTAGTGGTAGTAAATTAAAATTGTACATAAATTATGTTCACACCTGGTACACATTGTTTTGAACTAATACATGAAAAGGTCCTTCAGTGTGTCTGACAAACTCATTTATATGTAGCTCTATAATTGCATACATAGCTCTTGGCAATTATGCTGCTTATAGGGAAGGAACATATTGCATATTTGATGCCATATATATGTTTTTAAGATGTGATGTCAAGAAGAGTATTATTATCTAGTTGTCAATCCGGTGCCTCATAGAACATTTCTGTTATTTCTAGAGTTATGGCCATATAGGAGGTTAATTTAAATCTACCCGGAAGACCAATTTGCTTTTTTCATAGCACTTCTTAGCCACAGCTGTACTCTGACTTTCACTGTCAAATTGCTAAACATTAACTTACCAAAATACTTACTTTCTAGGAGACCCAGAAGATCAATGGTGGTGGAGATACACAGGCAGATGGGACCTGCAAACCAACAGATGAAAAAGAGGAGAATGTGGCAGCAGAAGTGGGATGGATGACCTCCGTGAAGGATTGGGCAGGAGTCATGATATCTGCCCAGACATTAACTGGCAGAGTACTTGTAAGTTTTCTATGATTTTCTATGTTCCTATTTTAAAGAACATTTTTTAACAAACATTGTGTCCCAGCATTAGTGGGGGATTTTTGATTGGTTTGTTGCATCAGCAATGAGTCAATCCCAGTTTTCTCTTTTGAAAGTATATTAGCAGACTAATTCCCATGGCAAGAGAGAAGCAGACACCGCCAGTAAGAAAAACTGACTTCCAGCCCACCCCTCAGCCTATTTCAGTATTCTTGACACCTTGATTAAGAACTGTGCTATGAACACTGAGATTAATAATTTCATATTATGTAGTAAAACTGTAGGCTTGTTCTGTTTGGAAGTAAAATTCTGCTAGCAAAAATGGAAGCCAACTTGAACAATAAGCACAGCATTACAAATGTAGATAGTGGTCAGAACTGTAAAGCAAAGACAAGTTTGAATTTGCCATGCAGTGGGATATGTGATACTGGCAATAGACAAGTAACAATTTTATGTTCTCTTGATCTTTTTCTTTGTTAACTTAGGAAATCCTTGAAAAGTGAACAATTATGTATCGAATAGAGCCACAGATCAGATATTGATAATATGTAATTTCAAGTTCTATTGAAAAAAACTTCATAGTTTTCACTTTATTTGTATATAATGATTTTGTAGCCCTGTCAAATCATACTTCATTGCCAAGTCTTTTCAGTGGAGTTTACTGCAGTAAAAGGTGTTTCCTGTGTGATTTGGATTAATTTCCTTCTTAGAATGCATGTATTTACAGGCTAACTGAAGTGATTTTAACCCCATTTAAAACATTTGAGAATCCCAGTGAGACTTGGAACTAGTTTGGGTTAAACTGAAAACAAAATTTGTGTCTTTGTTTACTTTAGTTTAGAGATCTTTTACTGTGAGTCAGTTCCATTCTGTAGAGTAATTATTTGGGTGGGGGGAGGGAAGGGAAGGAAAAGAAAAGAAATTGCACTTCCCAACCAAGTCATTTACAGTGAAAAGTAGAGATGGCTCAATTGCTACTCTCTTCTTTAGTTTTGCAATAATATTGTTTTGATTACTTTTTTCGTAAAGGTACCTTCTGCCTGTTTGCATATGTTAAATGCTGACTTTTATCAATAGCTTGAAAGCACGTTCCATTGCTGCTTTTAAGCACTGTGTCTTCTACGTGAAACTGACATATTGATAGTCTTATGAAAAGCAGCATATTGATCTTTTTCATGTTTTCTGACATCTTCAGCATTAAAAATGACAAATCTTAGAGCCATGCTGCTTGTTCCAATTTAAGTATCAAGGCCAGAAAGCACCCAAACCCAGAGTCCTATTCTACTAGCTATCTAATCAGAAATTGGACTGTTTTGTTTTTACTGAGGTATACGTGAGCACAAATGCAAACAATCAAGACCAAAACCTCAAATATAAACCACATTTTACTATGTGTTTTTATTCAGGTTACTGGCAGAACTTATTCAGTTCCGTTTGATGACTTTGTTTATTTCTTTTGTGTGTTTTTTTTTGTTTTTGTTTTTGTACTTGAAGTTTGCCATTGCATCTTATAAGGAACTAGTTTATTTCCTTAGTTTTTTGTGGACAGGTGGCCAACATCAAACAGATTATTTCTGAGAGTATATTTGTATTGTTGTCAAGGTATAACAGCAGGTATTGTACACATCTGGGCTCGTCAGTATGACTAACGATCTGAGAAATAAAGTAGCAATGTATGGAGTCTGTTAGTTAATTTTGTTCAGTTCAGAAAATAAGATGCATTTATTTTAACATAGCACTCACCGATTTCAGGGTTTGAATCAATAGGATGTAATTTCTGGGGGGGCATTTCCAGTATGAACATTGACTGTTCATTCAAATTTTATTTTATGGTTATATTTGCCAAAGGTTAACTGCTTCAATGAATATTTGTGCTAGAGAGAATATTCACATTATTTGTAGATACAGGATGTATCTAAGTCAAGTCAGTATTTTTATGAATGTATACTGTTTGAAAATATTATGACTTACATGAATTCCTACTAACTTAACACAAACTATTCCTGCCAGTTGTTATATTTCTGAATCAAAGTGTGGATTTTTTTTTTTTTCCCTGAAGAAGAAAGAATTGGTGGCTTTACAGTGCTGTGTGTGAAATCAAAATTGTATGAGATATCTGCAGCTAGAGAAATTATAGCACATTTTTACACTATGAGAGTTTAAATTAAAAACAATCTTATTCATCCAGTGTTTACAAAAGAAGTTTTAGAAGTGGTCCACTGAAAATTGACTTATGAAAAGAGTTGCAATTGATCTTCAGTTCAGCATGATCACCTGAAAGCTGTTGTGTAACTGCTGCTCAGGTTTCTTTGACAAGTGAAGGAGATGAGTTATCAAAGTGTTGAACACACGTCAGTGGCAAATAGAATCTTATTTGTGTTTTCTGCTCGTGGAAGAAACTTTGGTCATTATTGTTATCTGGACAGTTATTCTCTCTGAAGTGAATCTTAGTGGAATGTCAAGTGCTGTTTGTGGAACCAAAACTGAATGTTTTTGGACCCTTTTCTAGTGGATTCTGTCACCATAAATTTGATGTGTCTGCTCTAGCTTTTATTTCTTGCCCAGTAACTGTACAAAACAAATTCCTAATTTATCAGATCCAGGTGCTTTGTGAGTGTTGGAACAAATATTTATGTAGTGGCTGCTTCTATAATAACCTTTTTAATATTTAAACTTCATGGCTACTCACAGGTGAAGGAAATGAAGGCCAACAGCATGGAAAATACATGACTAAACTTACTTTTAAAGGTCACAGCTTCACATCTGTGCACTTGTAGTACAAAAATGGACATTTATATCAACATAGGCCCATTGGCCCAAATCTCTGTGAAATCAAACGTTTCTGTTTAGCCACTAGATGGAAATCAGTAGGCAACCTTTAAAATACAGACTTAGAAGGCCTTCTTCAACATTGTAGCTGTAGAACTAGTTGAAAACTTAGCGTTTATATTTTTTTTTAGTTTGAAAATTATTTTGGAAAAAACAATTTCCAAATCATGTGTTTCAGTGCATCTACTGGGAAGTAAGTGATGTCACTTGTTAATTCGTGATCTGGGTCATTGGAAACGAGTTAGTGAAATGATTTAATCCATTCCTGACAAACACAGTGGCTCTGAAATCTTTGAAGGAGATGATTCCCCTCCACACTAGTTTTCTTAAAAACATTGAATTAATTGATGGTTGTGGGAGAGGGAAGAGTTCTGTAACTGAAATAAAAGCAAAAAAAAAAGTGTTCTTAGTCCCCTCCATTCCATTGATAAAAGAGAAAGAATTGCATTTAAAGACTAAATAAAGAGAGGAGTAATTAAAACCTGCTCAAACATTGAAATATTTTACTTCTGACTTCAATTAAGTATTCTATTTCAAATAAAAATATATCATCCTTTTTAAGTATTTGAAACTTTCTGTAAAATATATTAGTGATGAATGTCTGGGCTTGCTAGCAGTGTTTGCTGTAACCTGTAGAAAAAAAGAAGGCTTGTCATTTAAATTTTGGCAGTATTTTTTACATATACATGTTAGAGCTAACTAGGTGAAACCAAGGATATGGGTATTGTGCAAATTAATCTCTGTACATGGGAAAACTTTCACGCATTCTCTGTGGAAGTGATTCTGAACACTGGCAGAATTAACTTTCTCTCTGGCACAAAAGCTTTTCCTACTAGTACTGTTATGTAAAACTCAGTATTGTTTGCACCTACTCTTTCTTTTTTGGAGCACAGAAGAAAAGGTGCTGCCAGTTTCATGGTTGCTCCACAGAAGTAGTCAGTTACGTCTGGTTCTTTAATACGAAATGCTTGCCTTGTGTCTATTCTTAGTATGCTACTCCTCTCATCACATGAGTGTCTAGGAGCAGGTTTTTTGGAAAGGATGGTGTCTCAAATATATCCTGTTAGTATCTCCACTTGTATCCTTAGTTCTTGGTTACATGATGTAGGAGTTGCCCATGTTCCATGCTCCTCCAATTGTTTTTGTATTAATTCCTACAGAAAACTGTGAGGAAACAGATTTCTGTTCTTTCAGTCTCAGTCTTAATTTTCTTAAAAAGAATTTTTTTTTTTTTTTGTTAGGGTGGAGTAACATGAGAAACAATAACAGAAAATTTACTTGGTAAATAATTAAACCACCAAATTTTTAAAACATTTGACCATCACTTGTTTTATCATTATGTCAATTGAGTTTCTCATCACATGTAATTCTTGTCTGTTAATAACAGAAAGATTAGATGAATAGACATAAAAGTGCCATGTGCATGGGATTGTTCTAATATTGCAGTTGATTTAGTGGTTTATGTGAATATTGTAGAGATAAAGTACTGAAATAGAACTAGACATTCTTACTGCTTTAGGAACTAAATTCTACACCTGACATTTCAGAAGTGGTTTATGCATGAAGGAGTATTCACACTACCCAGCTTCATCTGAAGGGCAGGCTTTGGAGGGAGACATTTCTATAGGGTGATCCAGAATGTCTTTCCATTAGAAACCCTCTTAATTTTCTGAAGTAGTGCAGAAAACTGAGATGGTTAGTCATGGTGCCTATGGTTGTATGGTCAGAATCTGCTTTTGTCTTAATTCTTTAGGTTTGAAAAGTATGACTAGAACTTAGTGTTCTCAATGCCACAACCTTTGAAAATGTGACATTTGCTCTTAAATAATGTAGATGAGAATTTTACATACTGTTTAAAAATGTGTCCATATTAAAGTGCATAAGCACATGATTTAAGAACACGTTAATTGAACCCATGCAGTTCTGTTTGCAGTTGATGTTGAATGGCATAAATATAAATAACAATGAAAGGCAACAGTTTACTTAAAATCTGTTCAGGGAAATACTGATTTACTTTGAAGTGCTATATATTGCTTTTGATGATGGATGTATCAGATAAAAATTCCTGAGGTGGGTTTCTCAAGAATCAGACATATTCATAATTAATCTGAAGAAGCAGGAAATAAAGGGTGTTTATGAACTGATTTTGC